GAGGAGAGTACGAGGTAGGAGAGGCGAGAGAGCGCTGCAGATGAGAGAGCGCCAGACAACAGCTTGATGAAAGAAAAAAATCTGCAGCTTAATTTGCAAGCACCAAGAACGCCACATTTGTGATTGTCCTCTAGGGTCTATACTACAGACCGAAGGGAAGCATTCACACGACCTCTGCCTGGGTTGTGCCTTAATCCCCTAAGTATGTGCATATAAGCAAGATCACAGAAAATCTCATTGAAGCTCATAGAGATAGGAATCAACAAATTTAGGGTGCAGTCCAAACCATTGGGTCCCTGACTTGGTGCTCGCTTCTTCGAGTGCAAATTTTACAATTCATCGAAGCCGATTAGCCCACTTGTTCCTCTCAGGATTCTTGTTCACGCACGCGATCATTCCGCCATGGTAATGGGAAAGGGAAATCGAGTGCAAAAGAGCTACACTTAAATGTAGGCGAAGCTTAATGTTGGCTACGGTAGGGTTACGCAATAACTTCTTGAGAAGAAAGTTCACCTGCGAATCGTTTTGCGAAGGCGAATGCGAATTTCTTGTTCCCGTCCAACTCACGAGCGAAACGTTGCTGAGCTTCTTCGCTCAGATCTGGAACAGATAAATTTTTGTTATAAAACAATCAAGGCCTAGGGTTCTTCTCAAGGCAACGATGGTAAAGTCTCTTTTTTGGCGAGTAACCGATTAAAAAAATCAGATTTTACCAACACTTAGCAAAATGATGATGTTGAGCCTTTAAAATAACATTCCATTCGCGCAAATGGCAAGAGACTATGGAGGACGCACAGCAGATCCTGTCTGGCGACATCGCTCTACATAACAAATTGAACTGTTGAATTTTAACTTCTGATTTTTCAAGGATGGGATCCTTGGGAGCCGTTCAACCTGTATTGAAATTCAACACAATTTGCAGAGAGATGAGTCACCACACTGCCGCGCGCAATGGGTCCCGTTTTGACGCGCTGTCGCACCCGGGATCTCCTGTCCCACACCTGAGAAATATATGATACATATTATGTTGGGTTAGCATATGTTGTTCAGGAGATCTCCCCAAGTTTTATCCGTCGTAAAGTTGGATGGCGCGAAAAGCTGGTTTCCGATCGAAACGAAAAGTACAGGGTGGGGCAAAATTACTGGTGCACCTAAATATAATGGATTTTTTTGAATCTTGTTGTACACTTTCTTGTCTAATTCTT